GGGGGGGGGGGGCGCCCACCCCCCCCCCCCCCCCCCCCCCCCAAAATTATTCCTTATGAGTGATTTGGTAAGGGGGCTTACAACCAATGAAATATAAAAGGAGAGTGGAACCTTAAAAGTACCTGAGACTTTCACGATATTTCTTAGTAACTTAAGATCTCTTTATAAGGGTTAATAAAACCGTATAAGTTTTCGTAACATGTTACCGCCTCAAATATATACATCATAGATAATGCCCTACCCCCTGTTAACAGCTACCCTGTCAGGTCACTCATGAAGAATAATTCAGGGGGAGCGCTGTACGCAAAGTGCGCGTAGGGAATCCTTTTTTCCCTTTCCGGCTACTCTGTAGAGCTCCGAGGAAGACAGGGCATGGACTCCGTACTTGTTGTCGACTGGTCTCCTTTAGACTGCGGAGTGCGGAGACGGATGAAATAATCACTCTAATTCGTTTCATTTATTTTACAGCTTGACATGGGTCTCCTGCACGCCCACCGGCACATGTGGTACAGCTGTCGGAAAATGAGACGGCTCCTCACGCCTCTCCCACAACACTTTCTGCCGTGGGAAGATGGCGAGCAGGGATCTCGGTCGGAGGGCTACCGACGATTGCGAGAAAAGAAGAAAACCAAATCTGTTTCAGGAACAAGCTACAACTTCACGCCCGATTCATGGCCATGACACGCCTCCAACATTTTTGATACCTGTCGACCTGCCATAGAGACCTCATCCTTACCCGCTTAGTCATAGGAATGGCCATCGCGACATCACCGCCATCGCACTCCCCACACCGACATCAATTGGCGGTACTGGTTGGTGCGTAAAATCCGTGACGACGACGCTGCTGGACGAGCCGTGGGAGACTGCCTTCCAAGGGTTTGCTGAGAATGTACTGCCTTCCAAGGTTTGCTGATAGACGACGTCCCGGCGACATCTCGATGCTCCTTCCCACTAAATTGGCAAGACCGCCCCCTAATGAACGTCACTCTCACCAGGCCGCCTCGCCGCGTCATTCGCGGACGCGTCTACTCGCGCCCCAGGAGCTAGTCTGGTTCGCATGAGTCCTTTTCTGGCCTGGCGGCGGCCTCATGCTCCAAGGACTTTGGCTCCTCGTTTTTGAATTCTTTTTCTCGTCTGACTTACTTTGACTGCATCACAATTGCACAGCAGCCTGTGTCTCCTCGGCAGGCCGATTTGAAGCCCTAGACTCCGACCAGCTACGGCGATCGGCACGGCTAGATCCATCACACTGTGTGTGTACTACCGAGCATGGCGTTTCAACAGCCACGGTGCCAATCCCATCACAACACGGAGACCAGTCCCTGGTGAGACGCATTGCTTCGTCCTAGTACGCCCGGGAAACGAGGCTCGGGACTGGTTAGCCACCTGTTGCAGATAGTCCCTGTTGAGAGCGCATGCAGACTACGAGTACACGATTCTACCGAGTAAATAGCCCGCAAGATTCGTCCTAGAAACAAGTTTGGTGCCTTGCTCCCAGTGGCCTCGCACGGAGTTGCAACTCCCAGGCGTGGGCCACCGCCGCTGGTATCCAGCAATCCAGGTTTGCTGATAGACGACGTCCCGGCGACATCTCGATGCTCCTTCCCACTAAATTGGCAAGACCGCCCCCTAATGAACGTCACTCTCACCAGGCCGCCTCGCCGCGTCATTCGCGGACGCGTCTACTCGCGCCCCAGGAGCTAGTCTGGTTCGCATGAGTCCTTTTCTGGCCTGGCGGCGGCCTCATGCTCCAAGGACTTTGGCTCCTCGTTTTTGAATTCTTTTTCTCGTCTGACTTACTTTGACTGCATCACAATTGCACAGCAGCCTGTGTCTCCTCGGCAGGCCGATTTGAAGCCCTAGACTCCGACCAGCTACGGCGATCGGCACGGCTAGATCCATCACACTGTGTGTGTACTACCGAGCATGGCGTTTCAACAGCCACGGTGCCAATCCCATCACAACACGGAGACCAGTCCCTGGTGAGACGCATTGCTTCGTCCTAGTACGCCCGGGAAACGAGGCTCGGGACTGGTTAGCCACCTGTTGCAGATAGTCCCTGTTGAGAGCGCATGCAGACTACGAGTACACGATTCTACCGAGTAAATAGCCCGCAAGATTCGTCCTAGAAACAAGTTTGGTGCCTTGCTCCCAGTGGCCTCGCACGGAGTTGCAACTCCCAGGCGTGGGCCACCGCCGCTGGTCTCCAGCAATCCGCGTTAGTCCCAGCAACTTTGGACCAGGAGAGAGGCTGTGATGCTGAGATTTGATGCTGAGATGGTGCGCGCGGACACTTCCCGAACAGAACAAGATTGCACCATGGGGCATGGGCAGTGGCTTGGCCATGGCTTCAGCCCAGCTCCAGGAATCCACGCTGGAACATTGCCCGCTGGATCCCAGTGTGCCGCGTTGCCGGCTAGGCGAAGAATTTCCAACTGTTGAGATTTTTAAAATTGACAGCCACTAACCAGCACAAGGCCTGGACTGGGCCATCCCAACCTTACGGTATGATTGACGACGAAACATGTGGTCGGCAAACATGACTGCATTTGCCCGCCCGCTGCCAAAGAAGATTGTGACATGGTCTCGCGACCCGAGAGCTTCGGCGGCCAAGCGCTTATTCGGCATCTCGTCATAGTCGTGGCACCTCGGGCGTATTTCGCGGGTAGCTGTTGTCATCCAACGTCTCCCATTGTAAGTTTTGCGCCTACTAAGCTAGGTAGGTATGCGGAGTACGGAGGCACGCCGTACGCAGTCATCCTTTTTATGAAACAGAAGACGCTTATTACCTCGCAACTCGTTACGACCGCGACTGGGACCCTCCCGTTAACCACAATGATAAGCTCCGAATGTCAGCAGTGGGGCTTGTTTCTGACAGGTGCGGTGTTGGCCGTCACTCCATCGTCGCGCAGACAAGACAGGGTACAAGACAGGGAGTGCGGAGTGAGCTGGCTGCTCGCGCAAGCAATGCTGTCACGGATATATGTTGAAAAAAAACATGGAAAAAAGAACAGTGTCACCAACAATAACCGATCTTAGAAGCCAAGGCAATCTGGGCAGCGAGACTGGGGTACTGCTGCACACAAGATTACGACCGAGATGCAAAATGTCAGGATGACATGCTGAAAGCTTGTTTCAAAGCCACACTAGATGCACACTTTGCCGAGTATAGACCATGGAAGACCATGGAGGCGGGCAATGTGGCTTGCCAATCTTGGGTTGTGCTGGCTGTGAACATGTTGGAGTGATAGCAGCAAGAAGGTTGAGCCGAGTTGATCGGACCCTTTCAACACGCCGTCGGTCGATGTCATTTGTCCCCGTTTATACGGAGTACTCGTATGGCAACGGAGGTGCAGACGCAATCAACAGCAAGCACCTGAGAGAGCACTGGACTCCTTGAAGCTTGGGGAGTGAGTCCCTGGGGTCAAAGGCGCCAAGGCCTAGGCCCAGGTCCTCGTCCAGACGTGTTATCTCCTTCGCCCTGCTGTGTAACGGAGAGAGAGGTACCTGGCACGCGGGTTGCAAAAAAGGCCGCACACCCCGCACCCAGAACCACACACACAGGTGTGCGGCCTTTTGTGCAACCCGCGTGCCTGGGTACCTGAGAAGCTCAGCTGTCAACACTGAACAGCACAGGCTGCCGCCCATCCAAGCAAAAGC